CTCATGCTCGGGTCGCCTACGGCCCTGGGGGAAACCGTGCGCTCCTCTGAGGCCACGCCTTCGCCTCTTGGGGCGCTCGGCAGCGTGGCACAACTCCCGCAGGCCGACGCCCCCGCCCTCGGCCGCGCCGCGGCGCGCGGCGCCCGGCTGGGCGGCCGCGCCTCGGCGCCGGCGAGCTTTCAGGCCGCGCCCTGCGCCGCCGCCGTGCGCCCTTCGCCGTCGCCGCCGGTCGTCGCCGTCGGCGTCGCCTTCGCTGTCGCCGTCGCCGTCGCGGTCGTCGTCGTGGTCGGCTTCGTCGTCGTCGTCGTCGCCGGCGCCGTCGGCGTCGGCGTCGTCGTCGGTGTCAGCTTCGGCGTCGGTATCGTCGTGGTGGTTGTGGTCGCTCTCGTCGCCGTCGTGGCCGACGTCTGCCGCAGCGTGGTTCGTTGGTCGTCGTCGGTATCGGCGTTGGCCGTCATTGTCGCCGGGGCTCGATTTTCGATTTTTTGTTTCATGGACGTATGCAGACAGTGCTTGCACTAAGGGCTTTTATTTATTCTTTAATCGAACTGGGTTTGTGTGTTGGTCCAACGGCTATGTTGCCGCCGTCGTCGCCCCGTCGCCCCCTCGTCGCCGCCCGTCGTCTGGGCCTGTGTGTTGGTCCAGCGGCTATGTAGCCGCCGTCGGCGGCCATGTAGCCGCCGTCGGCGCTCCGTCGCCGCCGCGTCGCCTGCACCACATGGCTTGCGCCGCGTAGATTCTCCTGTCTACAAGAGTAATAGGATTTCCCCCCTTTCCCGCCCAGACTTATCGTCGCCCTTCGCGTAATGCAATTTACATGTGATTCTGCCCCATCGTCCATCCTAAATAAGAGTTCATGACTTCATCTTCTGCAAAACATACCATGCGCGCGGGGCTCGAGCTCAACGGTGTTTGGGCGATTTCGTGGACCGTCTTCTTTCCGCTTCTTTTCCAGCAGATGCGGAACGAGTGCAGAACGAGGGAGAACGAAAACTAAACGAAAACGGAAAACACTGTTGACCGTGTGGGTGGTAATGGGGGGTGCTCTAATGGGGGGGGGGGAGAATTTGGGCCCCTTGCTCCACCCCCCGTTTCGGCCACCTCCCATTACCACCCGCCCGAGCCCTGCTGTCCGCTCCCTCATTGGGTGCGGGGCCACGCCTAGCAGAGGGTGCGGCCTCGGGACGCGGCGGTGTACTCGGTGTGGGTCGGGAGCGGCGGCCCTCCCCTGCCGTGCTCCGCCCTTCTCGGCTCTCCCGGGCGCTCCTCGTCGCCGCGGCTGGGCCCGCCTAGCACACGCCCTCGCACACGCACGCGCGCACGCACGCGCACACGCACGCGCACACGCGACATGCGCACAAGCGCACACGCGCACACGCGCACACGCGTCATCTCTTCTACGATGCTGGGAACGCTGCGTGCGAGAAGGGTTTCTGCACCAATGGAGTGCCCGACGGCCGCGAGCCGCTCGCGACGGCGCCCTAGACGCTCAAGAGGGCGCCCCGACGGCCCCAAGGCGGCTCCGACCCGCTCAAGAGGCCGCCCCTACGGTCCCAGAGGCCCCTGAGGCAGACCAGGAGGCTCCCAAGACGGCCCTGGAGGACTCCCCAGGAGAGCCCCAAGAGGCAGACATCGCCACATTCTTTCCGAACAACAAACATTTTGGGCATTCTTGTGCTTCCCTTCTCCGACGCGTCCACGTCGGCCAGACCGGCCCCCAAGATCGCCCCAAGATGCCCCCTGTGAGGGTCCCAAGACGATCCAAGACGGCCCCAGGACGGTCCAAGAGGCGCCCAAGACGACCCAAGAGGCACCCCACATGTCATCGGGCTCGGCCCCCAACATATACAGGCTCTGGACGGCACTCCATACCCCATACCCTGTAGGCCTGTGCTTGACCTGGGGCGCGATCGATTCGGCACCAGCCTTGGTCGGACGGTGGTCGGTCGTGGGCACAGTCGATGAGGTGAGTGGAGCGACCTTTCCTTGCGTCTACGGTCGCAATGAGGCAGTTGGTGGGGTACCGTGCCGTAGGGGAGTCAGTGGCGCGCGCACCCGGCGACGCGGGCCAGACGGGGCGGACCTCAGACAGGCGCCCTGTTATGGGCCACCTGCGAGAGACCAGGAGCATGAGGTCCCGCAGATCGTCCTTGCTCCAGTCGATGCGCCAGTCACCATCCCAGGTGAACATGTGGTGCTCCCATTCGCCGTCCTTGGTCCTTGTGGTTGCTGAGCAGGGTCAGCAACTTCCAGTCAACACGCAACCCACAACACACACACCACACACACACACCACACAACACACAGCGCACACACAACACACAGCACACACAACACACACACACACACACACCACACCACACACAACGCACAACGCACACAACACACAGCACACAACACACAATACACAACACGCACCACATACAATACACACATCACACAACACACACAACCCACACAACACACAACACACAGCACACACGACACACACGACACAGCACACAACAGACAGCACACACAACACAACACACAACACAACACACAACACTCAACACACAAACCACACACCACACACCGCAACACACAACGCACACACCACACAGCACACAACACACAACACACCATACACACAACACACACCGCACAACACACAATACACACAACGCACAGCACACACACAACACACACACAAGCAACACACACCTTATACACCACACACCACACAACACACAGCATACACGACACGCAACATACACAACACACAACACACACGATACACACAACACATTGAACACACTCACAACACACAACACACAGCACACACAGCATACACATCACTCACAACACACAACACTCAAGATACAACACACAACACACAACATACCACACACCACACACAACACACACCACACAACATATACAACGCGCACACCACAGCATATACACAACACAGGCAGCACACAACAGACAGCACACATCACACAACGCACGACGCACGACACGCAACACACACACAAACAGCACACGATACACAGCACACAGCACACCACACACACAACACGCAACACATAACACACAACACATAAGACACACACCGCACAACGCACAACACACAACACACAACACACGACGCAACGCACAACGCACAACGCACACAACACACAAGCACAGCGCGCCGAGGTCGCCTGGGGTCCCCGGCCGGTGGGCGGCCTGCCCCTCTGAGAGGCTGGCCCGACGCCGTTGGGGCCAGCACTGGGTCTGCGCTAGAAGGGGGTAGGTGTGTGGCCCGTCTGCCGTCCTTCGCGTCTCGGAGTCGCCGCGAGTGCCGTGCTCGCAGTGCCGGGCCCGTCCTTCACCACCCACCAAACCACCCCAACCCAACCCGAAAGCCCCAATTTACCCTCGATTTCCAGTGGGGGGGGGCGTCGGGAAACATAGAAAAAACACATGTGGAACCCTTACCCCCCCCCAACCCGAAATTCGGGTCTTCGGGTTGGGTTGGGGTGGTCTGGTAGGTAGTCAGTCCTGGCGAGGGCTCCTGGCGCATGGCCCGCTGCGCTCTTCCCGCCAAAGGCCGCCCACGGTGCGCCGGTGCTTGCTGCACGTGCCGTGGCGGGCCGAGGTTTCAGCGTCAGGCTGTCGCTCTGACCGCCGCAGCGGCCAAAGTCCGAGCAAGATGGGTTTCCGTAGGCGTGATTCTGCGGGTCGCACCATGCAGGTTCGTGTCAGTGCTGCACCAGCGCGGGTGATAACGGTTGAACGTCATAGGGTGCCTGAGCCAGGTCATTTTTGGATGACCTCTGCTGTCGGATTGCGCAGGTAGTACAAGATTCGGAGATGTAAGCGGTGCTACATCCAACAGCGTCCACGTCGTCATGACAGGAACCAGGCGTAATGGATAATTGGGGTGGTGTGTTGTCGTGCGCTGTGGAGGTACGGCGGCAGTCGTCGCAGTGGGCCTCATGTCGACGTCGAGGGCTGTCGTGGCAAGGCACGGCGTGGTTCCGCATGCGAGCCCATACGTCGCCAGCGCTGCCCGCATTCGTGCCCGTAGGTCGGGTGCTGGTTGCGGTCGATGTTGTGGCCGATAAGCTCGGGTGTGATGCGCAGGCGGCGCCAATTCATGGGGTTCGGCAGCCTTTCGTTGCGAGGAGCCGTTGGCTTGCTCGCATTTGCAGGAGGGCTGGCCAGCTCCCCGCTGGCCAAGGGCGGGCGGGCCGTGTCCGACGGCGGCGCGCGGCGCCGGCTTCCTTGGGGGCAGTCTGGGGCCGGCGCCCGCTCGTGGTGGGATGCGGGTGCCTCCAGCTCGCGCCCGAGCCCTGCCGCGTGTGGCGCTTGAGGCTGGTTCCGGCGAGCGTCAGGGCCTTCCGCTTCGCGGGCGCCGCCCGCGAGCGGGGGCTCGCCCAAGCGCGGAGCTCGCAGCGCGGCGAAGAGGGCGCGCCGCCGCTTCCCTCCCCATCGGCACTCGTGGCCTCCCTGGCTTGCTCGCTGGAGGCCACCAGATCCACGATAGCGGACGACGACGGCGCACGGCGGACGATGGGCGCCTGGGCGAGGGATGGCCACGATTTCCACGACGGCCCAAACATCCGACGATGTGATTTGTTCCATGTGCGGCCCCAGATGTCCCGTCTCCTTCCTCGGGTTTGTTTTTTCGCCGCGGATCCATTTTGAATGTCCCTAGGCACGAGGACGTCCCTGGGAGGCCGAAGTCGAGAGAGAGCGACGAATGTCTGGGGATGGACGACGACGACGACGACGGTGACTTCGGCGATGCCAGGCCACGATGACGACGACAACGACGACGACGACAACGACGACGAAACGACGACGACGACGACGACGACGACGACGACGAGAACGAGGACGACGGTCGACGACAGACGACGACGACGACAAGGACGAGAACGAGGACGACGGTCGACGCCAGACGACGGACGACAACGGGCACCGACGACGGGCTCGCGCGGGTGGCGGCGCCGATCTTCTGCGCCTCGGAGGCCCTGGCGGCCGCGGCCACGCCGGCGCGCGCCGGCATGCGGCGCAGCAGCGGCGCCCCGCCCGCCGAGACGCAGCCCCGCCAGGGGCGGCCCGGCAGCCCCAGGCGGCAGCGGGCCGCGCAGGCCTCCAGCGGCAGCGGGCGCAAGGCTGGCGCGAGCGGCGGCGGCCAGCGGCGCTGCAGGCCCCGCCGAGTCGCCGCCGCAGGGTGGGATGCGCCGCCGCCGCCGTCGCTCGCGTCGTCGGCGTCGCCGCGGCGTCTCGGCGTCGGCGTCGGACGCTGGCGTCGGCGTCCCTCCTTCGTGGTCCCTGGTGCGTCGTCCGGCGCTCGGCTCCTGTCGTCGTCGTCGTCGTCGTGGTCGTCGTCGGAGATGGAGGAGGATGACGGTAATCATGGGAAACGTGAAGGGTAGATGAGCTCAGGCAGGGATACAACATCGACCCCCAGTCGCCCATTCATCGCCGATAGGGGCCTGATAGGCTACCCCGCCATCGAGGGCCTATCATCGATCTATCCGCGATGTTTCGCCGATTCCAGGTTGATGCTTACCCACCTTAGCTGGTTCCACCCTGACGTTTCCCCTCAAAGATGCGATGCTGCAATACGTCCTTCTGGCTCGAGTCACCTCCTCACAGGGCGAATGTGCGCGGCCCTAAGGCGGGGCCATCATTTTGAAAATAAATCGCCCTGCGTCCTTACAGGCATCTGCTGCGATGCCTTAAGACGGTGGCGCTAGTGCGAGAGCTCCATTTTGAGAACGACCCCTCCATCCGCATAGCTGCTGCAAGCTTTTCAGACGAATCTGTGCGGCGCCAAGGCGAGAGCTTCATTTTGAAATCGATCTTTGCTTCATCTGTGCAACTGTTTCGAATTTCAAGCGAAGGACCATGCATGGTGAGGAATGCTCATGTGAATCGCCTTTCCCGCCCTACCAACACGTCGGGGGGTGCGACAGGGAGGAGTTCTCTATAAGGAACAAGATAAGGGCGGTGATGCCATCGGATGGTTCTGGAGGGTCTCGGGATCCGCTCCGAGGTGCTTGTCAAGACGCGCCCCAGGATCGGTCGTGGGTGTATGATTTTTGCGGGAGAGTGGCGGTGGGAGGAGGCGGGGGAGGAGGAGGTTGTCGGAGCAGCAGGAGGAGAGGGGTGGAAGAGGAGGACCTACTCCACCTCCGTCTCCTCCTCCTCCTTCTCCTCCTCCTCCTCCTCCTCCTCTTCCTCCTACCGTAGCCATTTTGGCTCAAGATGTCCGAAAGAGTGCGTTCTGCGGTCGCTGGGAAGGGGTGGGTTCGAACCAGCCCCCCGCCCCTCTGAAACGTAGGGGGGGGTTCGAACCGTTCCCCCCCCACCTGAATTGCATGGGGGGGGGGATCGAACCGCCCACCCCCCCCCTTCTTCCCCAGGGGCAACTGGCGACGGCGAGCGCTGGCGCGGGCGCTGGTGCCGTCGGGCAGCGACGACAACGATCGAGCCTGAGTAGGGTGCTAATATGGCTGGATGGAGGCCTTAGCGAGATTTAGCGAGATTATGCTAAAGTTGGTTCGAGCCTAAGTAGGATTAAAGTAGAGCTTGATCTAGATATCGTAGGATCCAAGTCGAGGTGGATCGAGCCGTGACTGGATTCAATTGGAGCTGGATGCAGCTACAATAGGATTCTATCGGAGTTGGGTCGAGCCCGACAAGGATTCTACTAACACTGGACCCAGCTACAGTAGCATTGTATGAAAGCTGGAGTGGGCCTTCGGAGGATTCAATTGAAGCTGCTCCTGGCTATAGTAGGGTTCTACTAGAGTTGTGTCGAGCCCGACTCGGATACTGTTAGAGTTGGATCCAGCCGTGAAGGATTCTGTTGACATTCAATCGAACACAGACAGGATTCTATAGGGAAGGGGGGGTGCGACCCCCTCTTTGGACAGGGACCCCCCCTCCCATTTCGAACACCCCCACTTCGAGGCCCCCGTTCCCCCCGGGTTGGAGAGGCGGGTGTGCGCCCTTCCCCCTGGGGTCTCCGGGCCTTTCAACCTTTTATGGGGGGGCGTTTCCGACGTGCCCAGGAACTTGCCCCAACCAAGCGTCCACGAAACGCGTTTTCTCAGAAGTCCGCACTGAGGGGGCTCCGCACCGCTGGTCCGCGGGTTGCTTTCAGTGTTTCTTGGCCCCGCAGCAAATTCCGTATCCGTTTAGTCAGCAGGCTTACGCCATACCGCCGACCCCCAAAAAGAAAGCATGGGTAGGGCGAGAAACAGGTAAACGGCTAGAAGCACGGCTGCGGAGCACCCGAATGGTACTTGGGCCTCTTCTGGCGTGGGTGGGTGATTCTGCAGGGCCTGGTCGGGAAGAGGGGGGGGGCGCAGGGTGAGTGAGAAAACAGGAGGCCACGAGTGAGGACGGTATGGGGATGTGAGACAGGGAGGAGGGGAAGGAGGAGGAGGACGACAGAGGAGGAGGACCAGTGTTAAACCAAGACTCATCAACGATGTTTCAATAGACCCTCCCTCCAAGCTCCTTCATGGGCTCCTACAAGGGTTCATTCTCACTGAGGGAAGTACCCCGTTGGAAGACAACCGTTTGAAAACCATGATCCGTGGCCGAGCACTTCTGTTGGGACTGACCCGCCACGAATCAACCTAACTGTTGCATCTTGACTAGCTTGAACCGTGCTAGAACACCGTTCCTGGGATCTCACCACCGCGAATCAACGTAACTGTGGCGCCAGGATCCCACATCTTTCCAACAGGCCAGTTCTGGAACGCTAGCAATGATAATCCATGAACCTCTTGCAGTTTTTTTTAAGACGACCTTCGCGGCGCTAGGGCGAGACGAAGATGTTGAACAAGAGCCCACTGGTGAAGTTTTCTAGCATGTTTTAAACGAATGTGCGCGGCGCTGAGTGAGAACCACACTTTGAAAACGGCCCGCCTTCAAACCGTGAAGCTTTTGCATTTGTTCGAAACGAATCTACGCGGCGCTACGGCGAGAGCCACAGCTTGGAAACCACCCGCCCTCCATTTGTGAGGTTGTTGCCATTTTTGAAGCTTCAGGATCATAAGTGGTGAAGAAGTTTCAGGCGAAACGCCCTACCCGTCTTTCGAAGCGGCTTCGGGGTGCGACAGGAGGAAGAGGATGAAGAGGAGTGCGAAGGAGAAGGAGTTGATGAGGATGAGGAGGAGGAAGAGGAGGAAGCGGAGGACGATGGGGGAGGAGGGAGGAGGGAGGAGGGAGGATGAGGAGCGAGGAGCGAGCAGGAGGGAGGAGGCAGGAGGAGGGAGGCGCGAGGAGGGAGAGGGATGGGAGGAATGGAGAGCCCCCCCGTGATCGAGCCGGCGGACGGCCGGCCGCCGCCCGCCCGCCCCGCCGCCCCCAGCTCCTTCGCTGACCGGGCGGCGGCGGCGGCGGCAGCCGCGCCTGCAGCCGACGCCTCCCCCGAGGAGGCCGCCGACGCCCCCCCCTCCCCCGACGACGGTCGGCAGATCGGCCGACGGACGAGGGCGGCAGGCGGTGGACGACGGCGACTGACGAAGGACGGCAGAAGACGACGGCCTCCCCCGAGAGGCCGCAAGCGCCCGCCAAGAAGGGGTTTGAGGGGTCTGGGGCGAACAGAGATGCCTTGGGGAAGGGGGCCGATTTGTTGTTGGCCCGCGCATCGGACAACACGAATCACTTGTTCGTTGGGGTGGTGCGTCCCAGCTTATGCGCGCGTCGCATCAATGCCTGCCTTAACGCAGTCTGCCATAATTTTGGTGCTCATTGTAAACCAGCGACGAAGAGAACGCGCGCACACATCGCAACCATGTACATGATAATCTAGCACGATTAAACTCACTCACGTTGAATCAACACCAAAAAAACAACAGTTCACAATATTAGTGAGCGGCGTTTTCCTTAATAACGAAACGTTTGTCCGTGAGAACGCCCTAGAAATAGAAAGGCGACGCGCCGTGAACAACATGTTTTACTCCCTGTGCCGCGAGCCACAGCTTCTGAAATGAATTGCGAGAGGCGTCTCACGCGCCAGGTCGTGACTGGTTCAGTTACCGCGGACCGCTTCGCCCCCTTGAGATACTCGGGTGAGATTGCACTTTGATATCGCGTTGTCCCCCAGAGACACTCGAACAATTGCCCTTGTTGTATACTTTCCTCCTCCGTAGCCATTGTGGCTCAATATGTTTACTTTGATATGGATTATGGAAGGTGTACTTGCTGCGTCGCTTCGCCCATTTGTCCGCGTGTCCCAACTGCAAGGCCAAACGATCGAATGCCACAGAGAAAATACGCTACGAGTGATCAGCGAGAGCAGAAATGCTTTGGACCCAGAGAAGAAAAAAAGGAGAACTCGACTCGGTAATAGCAGTGGCGGCATGTCCGAAGGGGATGAATGGGTTCCTTTCTATCCAGGAGTTGCAGATCATATCAAGAAAATCTACAAGCATGTCTATATTCACACTGTGTACGATTTTCTGATCCAAGCACCAGCAATTGAAGTCAGCAGTGCATCGGGTCAAGATGATGACGATGGAAACCAAGTGCCCGAGGTGATTCGTCTCCGACAGCGAAATGAAACATGGGAAAATGACAACAAGAAGCTCTTGAATGAACATTCACGATTGACTCGCCAGCTGGCGTGTCTGCGACACAATTTGAAGGAAAAGGGTGCCAGTGACAACTCAGCCCTTGCGAAATTAATTTTTCGAGGGGAAGACGCTCGATACTTCTCCCCGAGGGGGGGCTTTGGTATGGCTGTCAAACGGATCGACGGTATTGTCACCACCCTCCTGCACATCGTGCTCGGGACCGTCGGGTCGGACCCCTTGTCCGAGGCGAAGACTGCACCCTGCAGTCAAGGTGACGAACATCAGATTTCTTGGGAAGAAGTAGCGCTCCTTGACCCTTGTGGCCGGGTAGTGAGTACTGCTGAACCAGACGGTCAGCAAGACGGATCAGTTGAAGATGTGGATTCCTCAGACGACCCATTGCTCGGAGGAGGAGTCAACCGACGTGGCGGGAAGAGTGCAGCCAAAGCGACGAAGGGGCGTCGTGAGGTAGCAGATCTTGCCAATCAGGTGACCCAGATCACCACAGTTTTGAATGAGTTGACAGAGAAGATGGGAGTGGAGTCTCAGGTGGCTGTGGGGAAGCCGCCAAAGAAGCGCACGCCCAAGAATACCCAAGTACCGCCAACACTTCAGAAGATTCGCGAATATCTGAAGTACATGCGGGTCAATCATATTAAGGTCACAGAGGAGCAAGTGCAGGACAAGCTGCGCGGCCTCCTCTCGAGAACCACGGCAGCATCGACGTGGTTGAACGGGGGACCTGCTACCGAGAAGGCGCAGGATACGAAGTTGGTCGTACACTCTCAGCCGTGGGGAACGGCGAAGATCGTCAAGGCCGCGAATATCAGGACGACGACACTGGACGGCCCTGCTGTCATCACGTGCCAGTCGGCCACAGAGTACGAGCAGGCCACACAGTGGCTCGGCTCCATCAAAGAACAACCCAGTGGGATGACGTTCATTGTCTTCAATGCACCGTCGATTTTGGCTGGGGCTACTACTACGGAGGTCATGTGTGAGACATCTGTTGGGGTCAGACCACACACGGCTCAGATTATTATGACAGGGACCTCGCCACCGACTCGCCAGGGTCTACCCACGGGCTTGAAGGATGATGAGGTCTCAACAGCACCACCCTTGGCCACGGCAGCACTACGACTCACGATTGCGGAGGCGTTCGCTGACGATGCTACGTACGCGACGGTCAAGGAGAAACCAGTGGCGATGGCGACGGTACTATTCCCTCAAGTGCTGGCAGCCAAGATTTTGAAGGTCAAGGGAGCAGTCAACTACCAGACAGAGTCGACGGCGATTATCCTTGTGCGAGAGAATGATACGGAGGCATTCTTGAAGTGGACCGCCCCACCAGGGGTATTTTTGAATAGACAATCTAGTAAGCTGGTGCCAGTGTGGCACAAACTACGCGAGGGCGAGAACATGATGACGTACTTCGCCAGGGTGACTGCTGCAGCCGCCCAGGTCGAGGGCCGCTTGGTGTACCGTCCATCAGACAATGCATCCTTAGGAATCTTATCCCAGAAGCCCATGGCATCGGATATCCAACCGCGATGGTACTTGCAGAAGTGCCCTGAGCACTGGTCATCATCCCAGGAGGTTGAGGAGTGGGCCAAAGCCAGAGGGTTCCAGAATATTGATGGCATCACACGATCGAGCAAGAGGGCCTGGTTTCTACGAGCTGATCTGGACGGATTGGTCAAAGATCAGGTATGCACTTTCAAGTCGGGGATCATAGCTAGCCTAGCTGTGCCTCGCAGGACATCATCACGACCGCCTCCACAGGCCAAAGGAGCATCAGCGTGGGGGACTCCCGCGCCGGCCAGGGCTCCAGTGCAGGAGACGACAGCAGAGGTGAAAGCAGAAGTACGAGACAAGGACGGCGACGTGGGCATGGCGAATGCCGAGGAAGGTGGACCGCAGCGGCCGCCGCAACCTGGCACAGCAGCAGCAGCCACAGCAGCAGCAGCAGCACCACCACAAGCTCCACAGGCGCCCATGAGGCCTCCATGGGAGGCATATTTCAATGAGAAGTGCTGCGGGGGGGACGGAGATTGTTTCTTCTTGATGGCCTCCCACGGCATACGAGCGAACCAATCCAAGCCAAAGCAGATGGCGGAGAAGGAGATGGGCCCTGGCGGCGCACTTCAAGCCAACTTGCGCATGATCGTGTCCGCCACCATGACGGACAACAAACGCTACCCCCAGGAGGAGGCCCGCAAGGCAGCCAAGACTGGGGAATGGGCCACATCGGCCATGGTGAGAGCAGCAGCGGTCACCACGAAGACGAATTTCTCCATCTGGAAAAAGTCCCGCACTGGAACATGGACCTTGTATACCGCCCCAGCGGACATCAAGACCAAGCAGACGGTGTGGGCAACGTTGGTGGACAAGCACTACAAACTTCTTCTTCCAAAGGCGGGTGTTGAGCTACCCCAGGAGATTTTGACACGATGGACGACTGCAGCATTCCCATGCCCAGCACGATTTACGGGGGGAGGAACGGGCAGCGAACCACACACACCGTCAGCGAGAGCTCCGTCGACCAGAGGAGCACGCAGTATGCTGGGCCTCAGCCCAGCTTCGACCAAGAAGACCACGAGAGCCTTGAATGCAGCCAGGAGTATGCTGGGCCTCAGTCAGTCGGGGCGTTCCAAGACCTCGAGGGCGACGGCCAAGGCATCCTCGAAGCCAACGGCTAAACGACTGGCACGCGCTAGGAGTATTCTGGGACTATCAGTCGGTGATGAGGCTGTCGATGATCCTCTCCCTGATCATGATCTACCAGCATGCCGTCCTGAGCGCTACAACTATTACTTTTGCGACTGCGGGTGGAAGCCCGATGGAGCGCATGCACCCTGTCATGTTCTACAACAAGCACGAGTACACTGGCGTGCCTGCAAGGGCACGCCACCGCCCAAGGAGCCACCTGAGAATAGGGTAGCACGGCTGAGGGCGGTGACCAGCTTATCATACATGGACAAAGGTAAGCGAGACAAAGCTTGGAGGAGGTACACTACATGGTACCAGTCTCTACCCGAGGATGTGAAGCCCAGCGTCTGCCAGATCACGGAGGACAACGTTGAAACGGTCAAGGACGGCAAGCAGGGCAACACGGTATATTCTTGTACGAGATGCGGCAGACGCAAGACGTTGGCCAAGCATATCCTGAAGAAAGGTAACACCGCGTGGGCAGTCTGTGCCAGGCGACCAGGAGACCCACGCAAAGTCAAGGAGGCTACGCACGACGTCTGGGCCAGGATGGTCAACAGGGACTACGCGGACCAGATCGAGGCGGCACATAAGAAGACGCAGGAAAAGCAGAGACGCAGACAACGTACTCCAGAGATGAAGGCCAAGCGCCAAGAGTATTTCAAGAGGCAGAAGCTGATGCGGATGCTACGCAGACCTGCAGCAGTGGCTCCCAGCGAGGTGCCTGAGCAGGAAGAGGCAGCCGCAGCCTCAGCATCGTCGTGACGGGATCCGCTCCTGGGAGGAGGAGGCCACCGAGCTGAAGGCCACGATGACTCCCAGGGGCAACCACTACCCAAGCGGCAGAAGAAAGCTTCGACAAAGGTGAAAGCATCGAGGGCCTCATCTTCGGGGGCTACTACGGCTTCAAAGAAAGCAAGGGTCATGGACATAAGTGCCGAGGACCCGTCCCAGAATTCAAAGGCTGTATTTGCAGACCAAGCAGTTTCTGAACTTGCTCCAAAGACTGATTTCTCTAGCTCTTCGAATTCAAAGACTGTATTTGCAGATCAATGTCTCGACTCCCGCAGAGAGTCCAACAGGCGGCGGTGTGGATTGGCTCAGCGGCGTCAGGACGCAAGTCCTGGGGAAGCCCCGAATGCGAGGGAACA